AAAGAAGTTGTCAGCAGAGGAGATGACTATTAAACTTAGTCCAAAGCCACCTCAACATCTTTATTTTCTAAGCTTTGTTGGAATACATTATACCAGAATTAATTTGCAACATGTTGTCTCTTTTAACCGTGGACCTATGTAATACTTTTTATTCATGTTAAAAAAGAAGGAATTTGATCAAAGGCAAACGGTCTAATGTAATTAACCAAGGAAAAAGCTTTCAGGACTTTTCAAATGTTAACTGTTTTACCTTCTGTCTAGGAAATGCTGTAAAGCTCAAATTAGTTAGGAATGACTTAAACATTTTGTTTTGAACACCTAAGAGATGCTTTTTGGACATTTATATTGCCATATTCTTACTTGAATGCTTTGAATGACTACATCCAATTCTGCATCTATACACTCTGGTATTGCTTTTTAACCTTCCTGGAATCCAGTTTCTAAAAAAAATAAAGACATTTTCAGATCTGACAAAAAAAAAATGTCTCAATGCTATACTACAATAAGCATTTATTTCCCACTCATGGGTTGCAAGTTGGCTGGGTCTGCTTTGCTTTGTACAAGACCCTGAACCTGAAACAGGCTTCCTACAAATGTTTTAGCACAGTGGTGCCAACTATGTGGTGTGACAGGAGTGAATGGCCCCCTTTCTGACCAGCTTCCAAAATGAGTGGCTTTTGATGATGGATCTGCTCTGCTTCAAGATGTGGATCATGTTTAGCTGTAGTCCATATGTCACGTTCTCATCCCCAGGATAGAGGGAAATTGGAAGCTCCCAGGGAAAAGGGCACTTTCTTGCCAGAGCAGCAGTAGGCATCCAGTTTCTAGTTTTCCTACACCAGCTTATGAAGCACTTTGTGCAGCAGTGGATGCCACTCCCTTCTCAAAGTTTCCAGTTTTACCTCCATAAGGACCCACCCCTCCAATGTCTAAATTGTCTATCTAAATAACTGATTGTATGAATAATCCCAACCTCTACCCTTCCTCTTTCAAGCTTTTGGCATAGTAACTGCTTCCTGTAGTCACTACTTCTGTGATACATTAATTATTTTCTAGCATTTTCAGTTATCTAATAATTGATTTTTTATCTTAAATTCTCTCGGTTGAAATAATAGGAGTGGTTTGTTTCCAGATAACATCCTGATTCATTGGACTAAATCCTATGTCTGTGAAGCGCCTTTCAAGAATTTCTCTTTGAAATATTTCATGACATCGTCTTCCCCATATTTGTCATTCCTCTCTGTACTCATTTCTATCATAGAACTTACTGTGCTAAACTGTCATTGTTTTTTCTCATCTATCTCCATCCCAGGCTAACAGCTTCCCTGAAGAAAGAACGTATCAGTTTCCTTAGTATCTGGCACATAGGAAATTGAATAATAATTTGAATGGATGAATGAATGAGCGAAGAAAAATAAAACTGGAAAGGGAATTTATTACTATAGGATGTGGAAGTCTCATGTAGCACCAAAATGAAAGTTAGATGGTGATGTGAGAAACTGGATTGCGTCTGCCACCTGTGAGTAATGCGAAACAACAGGATTAAAAGGGGTAGCTGAGGCTTCGCAAAGAAAACTCTCTGGCAGTGCAGGCAAGACACGCAAAGGATTGGCGGACTCCTGGGAACGCAAAAGTGTGTTGGCCGTTCAGGTTCCTGAGGGATGACCAAGCCTTAAGGGACGCTTATCACTTTGACACCTGGTCTTGCCAAGCCCTTTACCGAGTTTCACTCCCAACTCCTCCGCCCTGCTTCTCTAGAGCAAACACTTTCAAACCTGGAAAACCGGGTCCTACGTGAGAAGTTGTTCTGGGCATGCGTCATCCCCGGAGCGCGCAGGCGCAGAAAATTTTCTCGTAACTGGTACTGCCCATTTCCGATATGGGGCGTTGCTGAGGCTACCCTATTTTATCACCTTTCCTGTGAACGCCCGCCCTCCTGTTCCCGTGGGGGGAGCATCGCGAGATTGCCCTCGGCAGTCCCCGGTGACGCCATTTTTGTACCTGGCGAGCGCCGGCGCCGGGCTGAAACCCTGAAGCCGGAGTTTGCTTGCCAAGCTCTCGCCCAGACCGGATCCAGGAAATACGAGGCGGGCCTCGGTGGGAGGGACGCACTGAAGAAGGAGGGAGGGAAGGGGGCGGCGGCGCGGCGGCGGCGGCGGCGGCGGCTCCTCCTCACACCGGATTCGGGTCCCGCCCGGCGCGCACCCGAGGGGGGGGGGTCGGGCAGGGAAGCGGCGCCGGCCCGGACCCCCCGCGGGAGCAGGCGACGGGCGTGAGTACTAGGTGGCGGCGGCGGACGGAGAGCAGCAACTGCCGGGTGAGTGTCCGTGAGAAGGACCCGCACCTGCCTGGGTCAGGACGTCGGAGTCGCCCCTGGGTTCGCCCCGGTGACCCTGCACTTGGGACGGTGGGTGTGTGAGCTACTGCAGATGTCCCGTGGGTTCGGCTCGGCTTGGAGCTGCGGCGGACACTGAGAGCTACGGGGCTGCTGGAGGTCTGCGCAGGGCCTGGCGCGTCCACGCCCGCCCTGGACGCCCTGGGAGGCCGAGAGGAGAGGGAGTGGCCGGGGCGGGGTGGTGTCTTGGTTGGCTTTCGCCCCCCCGCAACGCTGGGGATGATGCCCTTACTCTGAGCTCTGGTCATTGCGAAGAGTGAACATGTGGACTGGCTTTACAAGCTCAGGAAGGTGTTTGGGGATGAGAACTAGCAGCACCAAGGTTGGGGCTGTTGAGCGTGTTGAGAGACGGGGAGGTTAGTAGTGATACAGTAATAATTGTTGTAGAAGAGGTTTGTGGAGCCACTCTGTTGTTTGTGTTGAGTGAGGAAACATTGTCTACATTCATTTAAAAGATCACATAAGTCCCCTAAGGTCCAACAACAAATTAGTTATTCCCAGTTGGAGTATTATAGTTTACTTACCGTGTGCAAGCTCATAAGATGTGTAAAAGCAGTATTTGAGGTCTGGGGTCAAGGTGCAGTATAAAGTAAGCGGCATATAAAACCAAAAGTTTGAACTGTTGATGTGTTAGCATTTTTGTCTTTACTAAAACATAACTTATTTAAATTCTTTAAGAAAACTTGCCACTTTTGGTCCAGACAGGGCTTGTCAGTTCGATGTGTTCTTCGTGACGTTCGTTAGACAGTAATTTTGGCATGTATTTATTTATGGTTTGTTAGAGAACAAGAATCAATTGAGGGGGACCAATTTGAGAAACTGTATTTCCTTTGCACACTTTTTCATTTTGGAAGGATAAGAGAATTTACTTTTTTCTTTATTTTAGAGACGATTTGCAGTAGTGTCTGAGAACATGTGTAAAAAGAAAAGCCTTTTGATCACGAAAGGGTTTTTGAAATAAAAGTTTAATTTTGCACAGTGTTAAGTTATAAATGCATTATCACCATGTTAAGTTTTGTGATGGTGGCTTTTCATCAACACTGGGAGAATGCAAGCATATTCATATACGTAACTTAAATCAGCATATGGTGTGAATTTTTACCACTTTAGGGATCTCCCCCCCTTTTGCTTACAACTAGCTTGCTTAGTCAAGGAAAAGTGAGACTTCAGTGACGGTAAATATTAAACATGATTTTTATCTTTACATCTGCAGAACATGATCTATGTTCAGTCGCCCTGAACTTTCTTTCATATGTTTATTTGAAACTCTCTTCTCCTTAATTATAGATACCATACTGTGCACACTTTGTAGTGGAGCAAACAGCGCTAACATTGATTATATACGGGCACTGGGCTTGGTGGGTAACGTGTGTTTGCATTTAATTCTCATAGCTTCCCTGTGCTAAAAATAACGTTATTCCTATCACACAGGTAACAACACTAACCTCTAGTATTCTTCAGTAACTTCCCTGAGGTTTTAGAGCTGGTAAATTGCAGAGGTGGAAGTCAAACTCAGGCTTGTTTGATTCTACAGCATGTGTTCTTTCTACCATACTCTGCATAAGTTTATGTGCTGACTGATAAAAATTCTATGAAAATGAACATATTTCTTACAAAGAAACCTTTCAGTTCTGTTGGTTATATTGAAAGCTTTCAGCGTGCTTGGCTCAAGATATCTCAATTTTTTTTCTTTTCACATGTGTACATTTTCTAGCCAGAGCTAACAATTGAGCAGAAGTCTGCTGATCCAGTAGTGAACTGTCTGAAATACAAATGTTTTCAGTAATTTTGCCTCCTGTTTCAGCATGCCAAAGACATTTCAAAGATCAAATATTTTGTTTGTTTTAGTCCTGAATATACTTCAAATTACATTATTAAAATGGCAACTATTTTTATCAGAGCTTGGAGGTATACACATAAACTTTTCCAGCATATTTGACAGCTGACCCTGTTTCCTTCCCTTTAATTTGGTATGAAGGTTTTGGACCCAGTTAATGGTTTTTATAAAATACAGCAGTTATTGTGGGATCCAGCATAATCTCCTGTGGGGCTGGAGACTTAAAAGACCTTCATAGATTCCCAGGCAGTATCTGAGGTGTTAGTATACATCTTTCCAGTAGTCATTTTTGTCTCCCACTGGTCTCTGCTGTTCATCTCTGATGTACTACTGAGTCTGCCATCCTGGCCCTTCCCTCTGCTCAGGAGAAAGACTCTACATCTGGATAGAGTTCAACTGGAGAAATCAGGAAACAACTGCAGAAATCAGGAAAAAAAAGATGTGAAATGCCTGGCATTCATCCTCTAGCAGGTCGTTTGGTCAGGCTTACCTGTCTAATTATTTCTAGCTGAAAGTTCTAGAAAGTTATTATCAAATTTGGGATTTTGGGTTCCATCTTTTAAGAAGTAAATTGTTTTGGGGGGCGGTCTCCAGTTAAGTAGTCATATGTTCATGGGAATGGAAAAAGAAGTCTGGTGTTCCTCAGTATACATCAACATGTG